ATGTCTCCTCTCGTTGTATTTTTAATAAGCAATCAAAATAAAAATGCGCAATGACTTAGGCCTTTTAGGGGCGGAGTTGGCGGATCTAATGAAAGAGTTGCCAGATCTGAGTGCTTAAAATGAGAGAGTTCCCGGATCCAGCTCAAATTAACCACATTGGCCAGTGGCCCTCACCCTGACAGTTGTTAAATGCTTCAAAAAACTGGTCATGACCCACATCAAAACAACAACATCAACAAGGACCCTCATCAGCACGCATACCGCGAGAACCGATCAATAGAGGATGCCATCTCCTCTGTGGGCCACACTGCTCTCACCCACCTGGAGCAGAAGGACTCTTATGTCCGTATGCTCTTTGTGGACTTCACGTCTGCCTTCAACACCATGATCCCCCAAACCCTGATGGACAAACTACTCATGCTAGGACTAAGCCTTGTGTTGTGGTTGCTCGCAGCGGGCACCGTCGCAGGAGATGCAGCAGGAGGGGTGGGTTGCTTGTGAAGCTCCGGCCTCACTTCGCCTCTTCTTCGTTCCAGTCTTCGCGCAGGATTCTCAGGAAATACAACTTTGTGGACTTACAATAACCCATGGAATATTCCTACAGTTGGCTACGTGTCATAGATACAGACACCAGCGACTGGGCATTTCCTGGTCTTCAGCATGCAAAAATCTGTAGGCGTGGCAGGGTTCAGGAGAACCTGTGCTCCTTTGGCCGAGCATCCCAGGATAACAACAAGTGCTCTATCCAGATGGCCCTTCTAAACACTAGATCTGTCAAATAAAACTTTTATTCACCACGATTTCTTCTGCTCAAACTCTCTGGACTTTCTGCTGCTGACAGAAACGTGGCTGAGACCAGGTGACAACAGCGCGTTTTCTGAGCTCTACTCATCGAGTTGCTCCTTTTTCAGCTCCCCACACCTGTCAGGCCACGAGGTGGTGTTACCACTATCTATAAAGACAATTTTAAATGCAGACTTCTGCCCACCAACACTTACTCCCCCTTTGAACTTCAGATGTTTGTGATTGAACTCACCCCTAATGTTATGTGCTGTTGCCTATTGCCCACCTAAATATAATAAGGAATTCATCCAAGAATTCTCTGAATTCCTTGCTGATGATATTTCCAACTATGACAGTTTTTTTTAATTTGTGGTGACTTTAATATTCCATGTTTGTTGTCCCACCGACTCATTGGCTTCTGAGTTTTTAAGGCTTTTGGCCTCTTTTTTTTGGCCTCAGCCTCCACCTGTGAGAATTTTCTCGCCTTTTTTATTGATAAAGTTGCATCCGTTAAGACAAGCCACAGGTACACTACTTATGTTTCAGAGTTTTATTTTATCTCTGCTGGTTCTGCTTTATTCAAGCAGTTTGAACCAGTGTCTTATTCCCTCTTGGACAAAATAGTTAAATCTGTTAAACCCACTAACTGCCCCACTGATTTTCTCCCTACTAGATTATTGAAAGAGGTTTTTAATATTGTTGATCATTACCTTCTTCCTTTTTTCAATTCATGTCTGACCCTTGGAATTATGCCTTCTGCTTTTAAACATGCAACGGTCCGCCCCTTTCTCAAAAAAACAAATCTTGATCATTTGGTTTTATCAAATTTTAGACCCATTTCTAATTTACCCTTCCTCTCCAAAGTTTTAGAAAAAAAATTTTATTATGCAAATTCAGCCTTTTTTGGACAAAAGCACATTCCTGGATAAATTTCAATCTGGTTTTAGATCCCGGCATAGCACAGAATCAGCTTTACTGAGAGTTCATAACAACATAGCTCTTTCAGTTGATTCTGGGTGCCCAGTAGCTCTGGTGCTTCTCGACCTTATAGCGGCCTTTGACACTGTGGACCACTCTGTCCTTCTGTCTCACCTCCATTATTTTGTTGGGATTCGTGGCACGGCTCTGAAGTGGTTCATCTCATTTATCTGACAGAACCTGCTCTATCTTGCTCAATGGCTCTTCTTCGTCTACAGCCCCTCTTCTGTGTGCAGATTATGCAGATGATTCGCAAATCTATTTACCATTAAGGCCAGGATCCAGTAACCCAATGCTTTCTCTCTTTGACTACATTTCTGCAATCAAACATTGGCTAAACAAGAACTTCCTGTTTTTAAATGACAATAAAACAGAATGGATTTTATTTGGTGACAAAGATGCAACTGGCCTGGGAAATTTGAATATCAACTTCAGTGACTGTGAAAAACCTCGGGGTGACCTTTGATAAGGCTTTATACTTTGACAAACATATTGCCTCTGTTGTCCAGTCTGGATTTTTTATTTACACTTTAAAAAAAAAAGCCAAACCCGTTTTGAATCGTTGCGAGTTGGAGAAGGCCATTCATGCTTTTATCAGTTCTAAGCTCGATTATTGTAACACACTGTATGTTGGTGTACCTCAGTCATCACTGAGCCACCTCCAACTTGTTCAAAATGCAGCAGCTCGCCTTTTAACCGATAGTCCTTGATGGGACCACATCACACCTGTTTTACTCACACTACATTGGCTTCCTGTCCGTTTTAGAATAGATTTTAAACTTTTATTATTCGTTTTCAAAGCTCTGAATGGCCTCGCTCCTCCTTATATAACAGAGTTGCTAAGTTTCCCCGCCCGCCCCAGGTTTCCGAGATCAGACAGCCAGCTCCTGCTCTCTGTTCCAAGGACAAAATATAAACGCTGGGGTGACTGTGCCTTTTCTGCGGCCGCACCTCGACTATAAAATAAGCTTCCGCTTGATCTACGTCAGATTACTGAACTTGGCTGTTTTAAATCGAAGCTTAAGACTTTTTTATTCCAAACAGGATTTTAGTACTTAAATATGTGGTGACGTTTCTAGTTTTTTTCTTTTTGTTATTTTGTTGTGCTTTTTCTTGCTTTAACTTGTTGCCATTTTAATTACTGTTTTTGTTAAGCACTTTGGTTCCCATCACCGTGGTTGTGTAAAGCGTTATACAAATAAATAAATGAAATGAAATAAGCCCATCCATTTGCAACTGGGTACTAGGCGTTTTAACAAACAGACAGGAGTCAGTGAGGATCAACAACTTCTCCTCCACCATAACCCTCAGTACTGGTTCCCCTCAGGGATGTGTGTTGAGCCCTCTCCTGTTTACTCTGCTCACGTATGATTGTGCAGCAACCCATCCAGGCTGTCATATTGTAAAGTTTGCAGATGATACAGTGGTGGTGGGATGCATCACAAACAATGATGCACCCAGCTACAGGCAGGAGGTGGAACACCTGAAGAGCTGGTGCAAAGAAAATAACCTTCACGTCATTGTGAAGAAGACAAAGGAGATGATCGTGGACTTCAGAAGGAACAAACACCCCTACACCCCCATGAACATAAAAAGATCTGCGGTGGAAGTGGTCTCCAACTACAAGTACTTGGGTGTATACCTGAATGACAACCTCAGCTGGGGCAACAACATCACCAGCCTGATCAAGAAAGCTCATCAGAGACTCTACTTCCTCAGACGGCTGAGACGAGCTGGTCTGGGAAGTTCAGTCCTCACCTCCTTCTACAGGTGTGCAGTGGAGAGCATCCTGTGCTCCAGCATCAACGTGTGGCATGGAGGTTGCACAGCTGCAGAAAAAAAAGCTTTGTAGAGAGTGGTGAAGACTGCACAGAAGTCTGTTGGAGTTAGCCTTCCCACCATCACAGATATTTACACCTCCAGATGCAGGAAGAGCACCTGCATCATGAAGGACCCCACTCACCCAGCGCACACACTTTTTGTCCCATGAGCCTTGGGCAGGAGGTTAATGAGCATTAAGTGTAGAACCACTAGACTGAGGAACAGCTTTTACCCTGAGGCTGTTAGACTCATGAATATCTAATCAGTATCATCACTGTGAAAAATTACATCATGTTGCTGCTGATCTGTTTCATGTTGCTGTGTTTATTCGTGCTCATCTGCTCACACAGACTCATGTTCGTGCTGCTGTTCGGCATATTGTTTTTATGCTACTAGTACTTAGTGTATTATTTAGTTGATGTTTTTCTTAGTTCATATTTTAGATGTTATTACAGTTTTTCTTTTACATTTTATTGTTGAATGTAACTGGGACCCTGTGAACATAACCTCGTTCCACCACATGTACCACATGAGATGCGAATGACAAATAAATCTCTCTGTCTGTCTCTGTCTGGCTCACTCAGCAGAAGTCCAGTCCTTTTTGTCTTTAGCCCAGGCGAGGCACTATGCACGATGCTGTCTGTTGTTCAAGAATGGCTTGACACAAGTAATGCGACAGATTAAACCCAAGTCTTGCATATGTATGTGTGTGGTGGTTCTTGAAGCACTGACTCCAGCTGCAGTCCATTCTTTGTGAATCTCTCCCACATTTTGGAATGTGATTTGGTTCACCATCCTCTCCAGGGTGCAGTTATCCCCATTGCTTGTACACTTTTTTCTACCACATCTTTTCCTTCCCTTCACCTCTCTATTAATGTACTTGGAAACAGAGCTCTGTGAACAGCCAGCCTCTTTAGCAATGACCTTTTGTGTCTTGCCCTCCTTGTGCAAGGTGTCAGTGGTCGTTTTTTGGACAACTGTCAAGTCAGCAGTCTTCCCTATGATTGTGTAGCCTACAGAACTAGACTGAGAGACCATTTAAAGGCCTTCGCAGGTGTTTTGAGTTAATTAGTTGATTAGAGTGTGGCACCAGGTGTCTTCAATATTGAACCTGTTCACAATATTCCAGTTTTATGAGATACTGAATTATAATCATCAACATTAAAAGAAATAAACATTTGAAATCTACTGATATAAATCAACTTTTTCATGATATTCTAATTTTATGACCAGCACCTGTATTTGCATATTTTTTTTTATTTAGTGTGCACAGCTTATACTCAGGTGTGCTCTATAGACCTGCAATTATGGTACATTTATTTAAAAATATGGCCACCCACTGAAAACCAAAACTACATGGTTTTTGTTGAAGCCCTGAAGAAAAGGTGCACACTTTGTAAATACAGAACCTGAGTGGATCAGAAAATCACAACTGGGCCTACCTGCTGCTGTATGCGGGGGTTCCAGCGGATGTAGTATGACACCCACAGCTCCAGGTGCCGCATGCTGGCCACAGGGTACAGGACCTGGCCGGGATCCGGGGCGTAGAAGGGGTTCAGATACAAATCCACCTTACTGTTGATCAGAGACCACAGGGACACGGTCTTGAACCGGACCTCCTGCAGCATGGACAGAACAGATATCAGGTCTCTGCTGGCAGCAGACGGGTCAACATGTCTCCAACAGAGCAGCTATAGAAACTGAAGGCTCACAGATACCAGGAACCACGAGTAAACCTGAAGATCCATTTATGTCCACATAACAAAATCAAAACAAAGAATAATGATTATACCTAAAACTAATTAGAATAAATATATGGCTGTGCTTCTGATGGTACTGTGGTAGCTGTTGTGGTTGCTCACATTAACGTGGAATTTATGATACTTTCTCTAAAATAAATTAAAACGTGTGTTCTAAAGCAGCAGGATGAGTCCATGAACAGTGACCAGCACTTTGCATGAGGACATGTCAAACTATGTGGAACTCTGACCTGTTCTACTGTGAAAAAAGCCCTTCACTAACTAAATCCAAAGAATGCTCCAGTCAATCAATGTTCTCTCATGTAAGGAATGAAAATATTCTGAAATCAAGCTGAACAAATAAACCATCATTGATGGATTGAAGAAATGTGTCGTAAATCCTGTTAATATTTCAAACTGACAACAAATGCCAAGATGGCCGCACTCAGCCAGGCTGCAGCTTCTCAGGCTCTCGGTGGAAACCCAGTTTTTCTTAAGCCCACAGTATACTCCCACGTACGTCCGTTCACGCGTACATACGCGTGTACTGTACGCAGAGGGTTCAGACTTCATACTTGAGCGTACACCCTGAGCAGCTGCAGTCAGCTCCACAGACAAGGGGCGTTTACCTTCGTGACAAATTGAGGTCGCTGATTGGTCATTTGCTGCCACGCCTACTGGATTGATTGACAGGTCAGAAAGAAAGAAAAAAGTGCTGGCAGCCTCAGTCGCAGCAGTGTTCTGTGTTTATAAGTTGTTAATAAAAAGATCTAAAAAAATAAAAAAAATAAAAAAACAGGGAGCGCTGGTCCTACAGCTCACACATCAGACCAGCCCACCAGGAAATCTCCAGACCCTCCCGCAGCCATGCTGGACCTGAGTTTAATTCGCTCGTGACAAATTCCTTAATTTCTCACCATTTCAGTCATGGGATCAACGGAGGAAGAAGAGATTACTTGCCTCTTGGTAAAAAAACAAAAGAAAAGGCCAGATAAGGGATGAAGAAGGGGAATTTAATACATTGGTGTTGCATACAAAACAGGGGAATGGTGGCGCAGAGGTTAGAGAAAGTGGGCCTGTGATCGGAAGATCGCCGGTTCAAGCCCCGGTACCGACAACATCAAAAATATGGGTGGGGTAGGTGAAGCCCCCACACTTGCACCCACCCTAATTCGTCCCACTCTGGGCCCTTGAGCAAGGCCCTTAAACCCCACCATCTGCTCCTCCGGATGTCCTAGATAGCAGCTCTCTGCTCCACACAGAGGGATGTGGTAGCTTGGTGGTCTGTGGTTGTGTCAGGAAGGGCATCTGGCGTAAAAATAACTGCCAAGTAGGAATGTGCGATATATACGGTACACGGTAGAAACAATAGAAATTTAGCCTACGATAGAGATCTGTCTTCTACCAGCTAACCGCAGTAATGCTGTGTCTGAAGTAAAATCAGAGTTGTCAGTTTAATCGTTACTTTTTTTTAGTGTGCGTAAGTAGCGTTAAAGTCTTTTATTCGAGAGCTAAGTAGCAAAGCTACAAGCTAACTTCAGCCGGCTTGCCATAGTGTTGCTGTATTCTGACGCATGCGCAAAACGCTGTGTTCCGTCGAAAGTTTTTTTTTTCCCCCGTCAAAAGTTAAAGTAAGCGTTGGTCAGCTTTAGAGAAACCTGCTCTCTGATATGTGAAAAGAATGTCGTGTTGTGTGATTTTACTGCGAGACCCTCTAGTCAAAGCCAGACTCATTTTATGTCAGCTCTCCATTAAAGCAGAAGGAGGCGCCCACTAGAGGATTGGAGGGTGAAGTGTTTCAGTGTAAAATTCTGCTCTGTTGCTGTTCATTTATTAAATAAGACTGGAAACTGTTAAGAGTTAACAACATATTGTTTTGTTTAAAACATGTGGCTAAAATTACATTTGATATCTTTTGCACTATTTTGCACTAAAGAAAGAAGCCTAATACTTGATTTGTTTATTATTTAAAAACTCTCTGGACCTAGTAGTGGAATTTTCTCAATTCAAATTAAATGAAGGCAAAAGGACACCCTACGCTTTTTTTAGCAAGTTTTATACCAAAAACATATCGCGATATATATCGTTATCGCCACACTTCACAATACATATCGTGATATGAATTTTATGCCATATCATACATTCCTACTGCCAAGTCTTCGTGCAACTTAGTTCGCTGTGGCGATCCCTGAAGAAGGGAGCAGCCGAAAGAAAAACAAGGTGTCGCATACAAAACAGTCTGTCGCTGGGCAGTTTATTATAAGCTTTATTATCATTGCACCGAGATACAACAAGAACATGTACATACAGCCATACAGCCATCTGAAAGATGGACAGAGTGCACAAAGCTGCTGCTAGAAAGCGCGGCCTTATTATTTTTCAGAATACATTTTTTTTTTAGATAGAAAAATGGGCAAGCAATTAGGATGGGATAGTGGCATTACAAAAAAATATATTCACACTTTGTCCTAACAGGACATGATTTAAGACATCAAAAAACTCTGCCAGCAAGCACATTTATGAACACGTTACATATGCATTTACGACATGAAGCACTAACAGATAGTCCATTGTCCTGATAAGATGATGGTTAGCCGGCACATTTCTGATAAACCTCCATGGGGGGGTGAGGGTGCGATAGACAAGGCTTTTCCTTTGTTTACACATTTCCCAGGAGAAATTGATAAGTCGGCCTGTTTTGAGGCAATTGTTGATTTATTCAGGCAGACAATTTCTTTCCTTGTCAGCTTTCGAGTCTGTACTGATACTTCCAAGGTCCGAAATGGCCAGATTAGGGTGCATTCTACTGGTCTGTGCTTACGAGCCTCTTAAAGGTCATTTCCATGCTGACGAATCCCAAAGCCACAGGTGGCCTGCAATTCAAATCAATTCCAACTTACGGTTTCACTCGTAATCAGCTGATTTTGAGTCATCCAAGCACGAACCAGACCTTCACTTAGGCAGCAGCCAGACGAGGTCCAAATTAGCTGCGGCCTTCTTCTTTGTATGTTGATAAACCAGGATCTAGACTATCCAAAAACAGGAAATCTGTTATCATAAATCCAATTATATGCAATTCTGATGTTTTTGTTCGATGGCAGAGGAAGACACCCCCCCACCCCCCCAAAGATATATCCAGCTGCATGCGTATCGTCCGAGCAGATAAGGCTTCTCCAGGACTCTGTCGCTTTGTTGAAAAGATTTTGTCATTTGCATGGAAATTCCAGTTTGTCAGATCCAAAACAGTAGTCATCATTTTGGAAGATGTGTAAAAATAGGAGTTGCTCCGATACACAGACACGAGAGCAAAAAAGCAGGAGAACAGGGAGCAGGAAGAAACGCGTGCGCCTCGTTAGAGCCAGTGAACAACAATAACAAAAAAAAAGAAAACCAACATGCTGGACTCAGCCTTCCAGCTGGATGACATAATTTTTTTTGTGCAGATCGCTGCAGCGAGCTAACGGGGAAGGCACGGGGAGGCGGAGTATGTATACGTAAACAGTTCCTGTTCCAAGGCTTTAGAACAACTGTGAAATGTCGATCACATTATTTACCTCGAGAGTTTTCGGAGGAGTATATCACTGTTGTCTATATAGCCCCAGATTGTAATGCTAAAGAAACACTGTGGGAGCTAAATCAAGGAACAAGGTTTCTTTATTGTTGTTTGCACCACATGCGGTACATGTGGTGGAATGAAACTGTGTACACAGGGTCCCAGCTACATCCAACACAAGTATAAATTGTAAAGAAAAACAGTAATAAGATCTAAGATATGAACTAGAAAATGCAAAACTAAGAATATGCTAAGCACTAATAGTACAAAAATACTACGCCGAACAACAGCAACATGAACTTGAGTCTGTGTGAACAGATGAGTATGAATGAATACAGCAGCATGGACAAAATCAGCAGCATGAGATCAGCAACATGGATAGTCAGCAGTGCATATCAACAATAAAGTGGCATTAAAGTGATTTTTTTCACAGTGATAATTCTGATTATGGATTCATGAGTAACATCTTCAGGGCAGAAGCTGTTCCTCAGTCTAGTGGTTCTACACTTAATGTGACTCAACCTCCTGCCTGAGTGGAGCGAGCCAAAAACTGAGTGTGCTGGGTGAATGGGGTCCTTCATGATGCAGAGGCTGACTCCAATGGTCTTCTGTGCAGCCTTCACCACTCTCTGCAAAGCTTTTCTTTCTGCAGCTGTGCAGCCTCCATGCCACACGATGTTGGAGCACAGGATGCTCTCCACTGAACACCTGTAGAAGGAGGTGAGGACTGAGCTTCCCAGACCAGTTCACCTCAGCTGTCTGAGGAAGTAGAGTCTCTGATGTGTTTTGTTGATCAGGCTGGAAGTGTTGATGCCCCAGCTGAGGTTGTCGTTCAGGTGCACACTCAAGTACTTGTAGCTGGAGACCATTTTCACCACAGATCATTCTATATATTCATTATATATTTATAATTTTATTTTAAATTTCAGTTCATGTTCTTTTTTATGATTGTCTTTTCAAGTCAGTTTATTTATATAGCGCCAAGTCACAACAGAAGTCATTTCAGGGCACTGTACAGAAACATTAAAATAGGTTAACAGAAACATTCAATTATAAAAAATAATAATATAAGACTATATGAGCAGACTGCTTTGAATTTAACTCAAATCAAAGAACTCATCTTGAGCTGATAAATATCTCCTGGAGGGTAAATGTAAACTATATCTTGGCTGCAAATATTCAATCAAGCTGTGAAGCAGGCAGTCAGGTTTCAGTCAGCCACGCTCAGTCTGTCCCTCCTCCAAGACAGGCAGACTGAGCGCAGCTGACTGAAATAAGACTGTCTGCTTCGGATTGAATGAGAGAAACACACCGCTGAAGCCACGGA